ACATGGCGGCGGCGGTGGCAGCAACAATTAAGTTACGCCTTCTTTGCGTGAACATTTGGGCGGCGTTATGCAAATCTTCCCACATCGTGACGTAGACATGTGGGGGCGTGTTTGAACGAGGCATTTTAGGAGGATGTGGACGAGTCTTAACTTTTATAAAGAATATCTCTTGGGGTTTGAGACTTTAGTCTTTGCAACTTTAGGGATCTTATCTATTCACGAACAGCTTGTAGCAATCCAAAGAGAAAGGAAAACTTGAAATCACATTATATGACCCCTTTAGAGGGCCTGTAGACATAAAACCTGTGTCATACAGTAGAGGGTGACAGTGGGCTTCTTTCTTTTAACCCCTACTGGTAGATAAGGGGAATTGCATGTCCAAAATTTACTTTCTTTTTGTAATAGCTTTTCCCATCAGGGACACAGAGTCATGAGACCGGTGTCAATCAATAGAGGGCGATAGTGGACATTTTTCACAACCTTTCATTCTACCCTAGAGACTGATTAGGGAATTGCATGTTCAAAATTAACTTTCTTTTCGTAATAGCTTTTTACATCAGGGAGACAAAGACATGAATTCAGCATTAATCAATAGAGGGGGGCAGTGGACATTTTTCACAACCTCTCTTTTTACCCCTTCTGGTAGAAAAGGGAATTGCATGTCCACAATTAACCTTCTTTTTGTAATAACTTTCTTTAGCAGGAAGATATAGACATGAAACTAGTGTAAATCAATAGTAGGGGACAGTGGACATTTTTCACAACCTCTCTTTTTAGCTCTATTGGTAGAAAATGGAATTACATGTCCAAAATTAACATTATTTTTCTAATAACTTTCTTCAGCAGGAAGATAGAGACATGAAACCAGTGTAAATCAATAGTAGGGGACAGTGGACATTTTTCACAACCTCTCTTTTTACCTCTATTGGTAGAAAAGGGAATTGCATGTCCAAAATTAACCTTCGTTTTGTAATAACTTTCTTCAGCAGGAAGATAGAGACATGAAACCACTGTAAATCAACAGTAAGGGACAGTGGACATTTTCACAACCTCTCTTTTTACCTCTATTGGTAGAAAAGGGAATTGCATGTCCAAAATTAGCCTTCGTTTTGTAATAACTTTCTTCAGCAGGAAGATAGAGACATGAAACCAGTGTAAATCAATAGAAGTGGACAGTGGACATTTTTCACAACCTCTCTTTTTACTCCAAGTGGCTGATTAGGGAATTGCATGTCGACATTCATTTTGTAATACTTTCTTCAGCAGGAAGATAGAGACAAAAGCCAAAAAGCCCGGCAGGGTCACTGATGTGAGGCCTTATAAGACCAACTGTAATAATGAGTGGTTAAAGACTTTTTTAGATTATTTTAAGCTAAATGGCCCAAAAAATCACACATATGTTCACTAGTAATATGATTTGATTGCTTATTTCTTTTGATCAATAGGAGGCGCTGTTATCAAATTATTATGGTGTGGTCAGTGTGAGGTGAAAGTGATACATAAAAATTTGCCAAAGTGGTGCACAGTGGCAGCCTCAGAATCAGCTTGGCAGTTTCATTGATGCGTTATTCAAGAACTGTTTGGTCTATCGAAAAGCTTTTAATTTTTATTTTGTATATTTATTTATTGATTGATTGATTGCCGGAAAGGACTTAAGATGATCTGATCCGATCTGATTTTTACCATCGGCCTTGGAGGAGCATGAAAAAGTAGGTTTTCAAATAAATTAAAAATGGCAGACTGTAAGTTCGACCAAATTTAGCATAATTGGCATCAATTTTGGGAATCTATCAGGACTGGTTTCATTTAAATAGATATAATTAATCAAACGCTATTTAGCATTTTTTACATTTTATTATGCATTTTGACCAGAAGGTGGCACCGTTACAAAACTTTGGGTACCTTCAGAGTATGGTCCCGATGACATATACCGGGTTTTGTAATGATACGCTAATGTATCTGTAAAACAAAACATTTTAAAACAAAATTAAAAATGGCCAGTATGGGAAAACTTGGCATCATTTAACATTTTAAAACTGACTGCTTTGTGAATTAATGTAAACCATTGTTCGAGTGTTGATAAAATCTGCACACATCTGCATACATGTAGTGTTCTATGTAATATGACAAGTACTTAAAATTAAGCAAGCAAAACAAATTACCATGCTGAAACAGACTGTTGCAATCATTGTGGTTGCATTGTTTCCACTTCTTCCAACTCAAGCTCAAACATATTTGGCCCTATCACAGTACTTACCATCTTGAGTATCAAAACAAATAACATGCTGTAAAGGAGAGCTGGATATGGTGTGATGAAGTTAGCCAATCACAGCAGTGGCTGTTTATTTCCATGTCTGCAAGAGGTGACGCCCCTTGAAGTTGAGTGAACCTCAAGAAACATATGAAACTGTATTTTATGACTCTTTTAAAGGGGTCATGACATGAAAAAAAGAGAGAAATGGCTCGTTTTGGATCTGTGGTACAAGGTGACATCACCTGGGCACAATCATTTGCATAAACACTGCCTCCAGAGCAGTCATCTTCTCACCATAGGCCCCACCCATTGACGTTTACTCGCTTAATGGCTGACACTTGATGACGCTGAATGCGAGTGGTGCGTCATGTCAAAAGCAAATAGAAATTACAATTACTGCCACTATCTTTTCTACACTAGATACAGTATACAGATGCACGTTCGCTTTCTGACACAGTCCATGCGCTCAAGCCTTTTTTTTATCATGTTGTCAAAACACTCACATGCAATAGCGAGGGGCGTTGATACTGTTTCCTATGCAGTGTCGTTAGCCAATCATAACAGTGGCCGATTCACGACAAGCCTTAATAGTCCAGGTGATATGTGAACATAATGTTCACTTTTTCATAAAAGCATGAAACTTGGTACACTTGTATAGTTTGCGGCCCTAAACATTTTCGGAAATGGAGCCACCGCAAAAACACCTCCTGGTTGCCATGGTGACCATTTTACTTTCCGCCATAACCAAATTATGTATTTTGTGTCATATCTCCTGAACCAAACATGAAAACAAAGAAAAGGTGATGTCTACCCCGATGTTTTGATGGTCAAGGAATAAACTGTTCAGGTGAAGAGCTAATGGTGAAATCAGCAATGTGAGAAGGAAATGACAGTATCTGAGCATCACAGGATCACAACATTTACAAAAGCCCATATTATGGCTATTCATTTGTATTTTTTTTGTTAGGATTACAATGAAATCTCAGAAGATGCAGGATGAAATTTCAAACATATTTCATGTAAACTTAATTTACAATCACTCTCTGGGGCCAGAGTTGTCTATCATGTTGTCCACAAGGGGGGAAGCCAGAGTCCTGCATGTGGGCGGGTACATGCAGGTGAATCGCTAGTATTTGATTTAAC